GTCGACGGGGTGGCCGTACCCTCCCGGGTCACGGCAGACAGAGCGGCCGTACCCGTCCGGGTCACGGCATCGACGGGGTGGCCGTACCCTCCCGGGTCACCGCACGGAGGGGGTGGCCGTACCCGTCCGGATTACGCCACCGAGGGGGCGGCTGTACCCGCCCGGGTCACAGCACAGAGGGGGTGGCCGTACCCGTCCGGGTCACAGCACAGAGGGGGTGGCCGTACCCGCCCGGGTCACGGCACACAGAGGGCCGGTCGCGGTCCGGTGGGGCCGCGGGCCGCGACCGATGACGGCACAGCGTCCGGGAGCGAAGTCTGCGGCACGGGCGCACGTGCCGTGACGGCATGGGAGAGTCAGGTCACCGACGGCCGCCATTCGCGAGAATGTCCACCTGAATCACATCCGTTTGACTTGGACCGGATCCCGACGCGTCAGTGATAGCACCGGACGTGGCTACGACCGGCGCAGGCATATCGGCGTGTCGACTTGACGCGTCGTTGTCAAAGCACCGGGCCGCTTTGGCCCCGTGCGTGAAACGAATATCAATGACACGGAACGTCCGCCCAGACCCGCATACATTGACCCTGACCGGATTACGAGCCGACGCCGAGTGACAGCAGATGAAACAAGAGCCGCGCGCTACACCAGCCGCGATCCCGCCGCAAAAGGGCCGGCACTCTCACTTCTGCAGGGGTCGGAAACCCACTGGGCGTGAGGGAGGGGCGAGAACGGCGCGCGCGTGGCGGTGTCGGCCGGCCAGGCCGGAGGTCGGAATCGCCAGACGATTGTTCGGACCTTGACCCCGGCTGGGTGGGCCAGCGGGCCGCTTCCTGCTGCTGGACGCACCGGGTGAGCGTGACGAAACACGGGCAGCCGGACACGCAGCGGGAAAGTCGGTTGCGGAGAAAGGGGCTAAGTTCTCGTGCCCCTGACAGCACCCTCGAGCTTCTCCTCCCCACCCTCGCACCAGCGATGATCCCATTGTGTTGCCGGCTTCCTAATCAGCGGCATTTCCCCACCCCGGAGTTCCAGTCACAACCCATGAACATTGTCTTGCCCTTCTCTGTCACACTCTGGGGCTATTTCGACACTGGGAGCGACGCGGCGCGAACTGAAGCCGACACTGGCGGCTGCGGTCGAGTCTGGCCACGTGCCTTTGTTTTGACCACAGCCTGTACGGAGCGGTATGCGTTATCGTCACATCGCTGCATTGCTGGTAATGCACTGCAATAAACCAGTATGTCTTCAGTCGCTTTCACAGCGACTGCACCGCAACCAGATCCTGAATCAGGTCTTCGCAAAATATGCATTCCGCATCTTGCGCTCGCCGCACCGCGTGTAACACGGAATGGGACATCAAGATCAACAGTCAGAGTCTAATCTGTGCTCAGCTGTGGCACGCGCCGCGCCGCGCCGCCCCACGCCATTCCCAGTGTTGTTTGTAGACCACCCTCCCTAATCAGATACGACCAAGTCCGATACCTGGCATCGACCTGTTCCGTACCAGCCGTCCCCCCCCCCCCCCCTCTCCCGCCGGCTGACGCGCGCACGCAGCGACGACCCAGTGCAAGCGTCCGGCGACTCACGACGGCTGAACCCTGCCGCGGGAACCGCGAGGGTTTGAGGGGGCCGGGCGTCCAGCATTGCATCTGGGCGGCGTCAATGCAATGGAACCCGCCAACATTTCATCGCGTGACATTTTATGACATTTACGACATGCATGACATGCAATGCAAAATCAGTATTTTACTACCTTTCCCGAATGAAAATTGGATTTCAGTATGCGAGATTGCTTGCCAAACCTGGGGATCTACTGACTTAGTATTCCCACCACGCAGCGCCGGATTCGGCCTCCGGGCTGGGCGGCTTCGGAGATCCAAGTCCACTTCGGTCGAGAATGTCGGCTGCTCGGCGTGAAATGACCTGCTGAACAGCTTCAGCTTCGGTTCACGGATCAAGGCGGGCAGGACTGACGCCACAGGATGTGGGGCGGTGTTGCCCAAGCCCTAACGGTCCGAAGATGGGGCATCGGATCCCACGACCTTGACTCGTATCGCCAGGGCCGCAGCCGGATTTGAAGGACCCGGCAGCTCTAGCCACCCGACCCGACCAGCATCACTGAGTGGCCAACGTCTCCAAATGGCAACATGCGGTCCGTAACAGGAGCCGCGTCCACGTTATTGAGGCGCGCGTCCATGGTCCGGTAACCACCAGACGCTTCCTGGATTTGGGCGCTGGACAACAGGTAAGTCCGTCGAGGGGATGGCGCACTTGTTGACGTCACCTGCTGACGCCTGTGGATTACACTTTAAGGGCTTTAGGCTAACACGAAGCTATGCATGATGTTTCAGGCAATGAATATGGGGCCCAAGTGAGGTGCGTGCTAAATAGGTGCTGTAGAAGCGAAATCCTTGTTCGGTCGTCACTTAATTCGGGGTAGCGCCACAGCTTAGCCAGCCATGACATGACAAATCACTAGAAGATCCTGGTAAATAACGCTCATATCAAGCAGCAACATATCAGGGGGCACACAAAAACGGGGCTCCTTAGTGCTGTGATTGGCCCGACAACATGTTCTTTTACCGAACGAATTTCGAAACAAATAAGGATCTTACGCTTACGTGTTCCGAGCGAAGTCAGTGCTATGCAAATTTTGAAATAGTGCTTTAGTTGCCATTTCACCGCTGATGGATACCTTACAAGAACTGTTATAAATACGGTCATGGAAGTTGCAAACTTTTTACCTCATTCGAAGGAATTGGTCGCGCGTTTCTTCCCACCGCTATGACGCAAAACTCAATTTCAACAGCCTCACCAGGCGGAAGGGTCAATTGCCGAATAACCGTTGGAGACGCTGGACAGTTCAGACAAGTGGGCGATACAGCCCACCACGTCCGCAAGTCCTGCCTTCATTCGCTTTCGCGCGGGCAGTCGCAGCACATCGAATGTGAAAATGGGAGAACATTGAGAGGGAAAGTGGACTGAGGCTAGGCGTGACCACCCGCCGTGACTGGCGGCACGCCCAGACGGCCCGCGTCGGCGCGCGGTCAAGACCACACAGCAGAGAAGTGCATCTGAGTGCGACTAAAAAGCTACATGGTGCTAGTAGCCTGCCTACAAGCTTGCTCTCGGTCAGGGTGTACTTTCCTACCTAACGTTAGAAAAAATCATTGTACACCATTCGTCGTGTTTAAGGCATGACATATCGTAAATAATCTCAAAACAGGTAGAATCATGCTCCTACCTTCGAATTTCAATAACTTCGATGGCGGGCCCCCGAGCGCCGCGCGCACCGCACCGCCTGGACTCCCCAGCGCCGTTTCCGCGTTGCCGTTGCGTAAATACAATATTTCTGCGTACCAAGAACTGTACAAAATGTACGGGACCAAAGTAAACCATTCGTCATGTTTAAGGCAGGACAACCATAACCTAACTGCGAACCATAAAAATATTTACTTAACATAAACCATATCTACCATAACCATATTTACCATATAAACCATATTAACTGCGAACCATACTATAAACCACAACTATAACTATAAACTATACTATATAAACCATACTATAACTATAAACCATATTTACTGCGAACCATAAAAATGTACCGGGACAAGGTAGCAAGAATCCATGAAATTTGATCCTCGACGCCAACGGGACCATGGGTTGCAGGGGGATTGGGTGGGGAATGTAAAGCAAAATGAGAACGTGGCAGCTAAATAAAAGCTCACTATATGGCACCTATATATGGCATGGAACATGGATGCCAATGAGATGCTGGGTTGAAGGGGATATAGGGTGGGGAGGTTAGGTTAGGTTAGGTTAGGTTAGGTTAGGTTAGGTTAGGTTAGGTTAGGTTAGGTTAAGTTAGGTTAAGTTAGGTCAGGTCAGGTCAGGTCAGGTCAGGCTAGCTTAGCTTAGCTTAGCTTAGGTTCTGGTCTATTCTCAGTTAGGTTAGGTTAGGTTAGGTTAGGTTAGGTTAGGTTAGGATACGTTCTGGACTATTCTGGCCTGCGTGTTTCATAAATGTACCTAAACTCGATAAGAAACGATTTTGGTTGCTTTATTATTGTGACCTTGGTCCCGTACATGTTTTATGGTTCTTGATAAGCAGAAATATTGTGCTTTCGCAACAACGTAGAAACGGCGCTTGGAAGTCGAGGCAGTGCGGTGCGGGGCGTGCGGCGCTCGGGAGCTCGCTATCGTATTTATTAAAATTCGAGGGTAAGAGCATGATTCTATCTGTTTTGAAATTATTTACGATATGTTCCGCCTTAAACACGACGAATGGTTTACCTTGGTCCCGTACATTTTGTAGAGTTCTTGGTAAGCAGAAATATTGTATTTACGCAACGGCAACGCAGAAACGGCGCTGGGGAGTCCAGGCGGTGCGGTGCGCGCGGCGCTCGGGAGCTCGCCATCGAAGTTATTGAAATTCGAAGGTAGGAGCATGATTCTACCTGTTTTGAGATGATTTACGATATGTGCCGCCTTGAACACGACGAATGGTGTGCAATGATTTTTTCTAACATTAGGTAGGAAAGTACACCTACACCCTGCTCTCTGATGAATTTTAACTCGTTATACCAGCTTTTCACAAGCAAAGGCAAACACGGACCATGAACAGGGTGCCGGTAGTGAAATGGTTAACGCGTCTGCGTTGACCGCTGCGCGTCTGAGAACGCAGCGGTACGGGGTTCGATTCCCCGCGGTACCCGCACCCTCTGCCAGGGTGCTAGGCGGGCGACGCCATAGAGCCTCAGCCGCTGGATGAGTCGTAAAGCCCCAATGGCGATGACAACGACGGAACATGCACCTCGGGACTTCGCATGCATCACCGACGTCACTTTAGGTAAGCGCGCCGTGTCGTTATCCAGAGGCGTTCGCGACGCCGCACCCAGGCGGCAACGCGAGTGCAATGCCAACGCATCACAACGCACCGCGTCGGCGGCGTTCCGCCTGCTCGGGCTGGCTCGCGCACCGCAGGGAGGACGTACCGTTCTCGACTGTACGCCGTCATCGGTGACGTAGAGGTGGTGCGACTCCCAGCGGCACAGGTATTTGGTGTTGAGGAGCTTGCTGATGAGCGTGCGACCGTGCACCACACGGCACACCTGCACGCAGCCGTCCAGCACCAGCCGCACCTTGGCCCGGCACGCGTGGGGCCCGCCAGGGTCCGCGCGGATCGCCGCCGCGTAGTTGGAGTCAAACGAGGTCTGGCGCTTCTGCACCGGCACTTCGAGTGCCGCCGCTGTCTTGTCCGAGATCAGCTCTACCGAGCGGTGGTGGTCCTTCTGGTCGAGGCGACGCTTCAGAGCACACGCCGCCGCCATGTCGTCGACTGGTCCACGCGCGCACCACCCACTGCTCGCGCCCCGCAACTGCCACTGGCCGCAGAGCGCCCCTGCCTTCTGCTGTCGTCCGGCCGGGCGCCAACGCGCATGCGCGAGCGGCAGCGGGGGAGAAATTGCAGCGCTCCGGCTGGTGGGTGCCGTCCACTTTCGTGCACGCTCTCCGCGGCGCCTCCGCGGCGCGAGCTGCATGCATGTATCTGCGCAGCCGTGTGTCAGGGAGATGTCGGGATTGGGCGGAACTGGGCTGGCAAGCTGCAGACAAAGCGACGGGCGGCTGCAGCGGCATGCATCCCCGCGACCCAAGAGTGGCCTATTTATTCCCCGGATTAGAGATGTGAACTAGAGCCGCACGGAGAGCTCAAGGGGCTGGTCACAACAGAACACGCACTATTTTCATGGAACGGACAGAAAGCTTCAGCTCCGGAGCGTAGCTTTTCACCCCCACAAACACTGTATATCTGGAGGAATCTCACTCCAACAACGTCTTCGTCGAAACGCTCTAGACCAACTTCTACAACAATAAGTGCCGTTAACTAGTAGTTTTCTCTAGGGCCCGTGCGAAAGCCGAAACTTGCAGAATTATTTGAGCAGAACACACACACGCTGAAGTCAAAGTATGCAGGCACTGGGTGAGCAAATGGCAATGTGTCGCGGTTTTCTATGCTATTGTGCATTGACCGATAAAAAAGTCGCTAGGTAGATATGGTCCCTAAAACGAAGTGAAAGGCAAGTTGCTAGCTTTGGCGACATAAATGCGACAAGGTTCAACCCGAAGCGTCTCAGATGTAAACGTGCGAGATGTTTCTACTATTATGGATGTTTATAAGCATCATATTCAACTTTGGTAATATTTCAGACCTCGTAGCATGGGTGTTGATCTCTCAAAATGTTTGGGGGGAGGGGGGCAGAATCGTGGAAGTTTCCGTATGGGACAAGCACAAGAGACGCCAGATTTCGTGTAGATAGTTTCTGGTCAGTATATATTTACATATATAGATGTTTTTGTGTTATATATATATATATATATATATATATATATATATACACTTGCTACGTGTTATTAAAAACCATATGTGCGTCCAAAACCTGCACACCTGGAATCATGGTAGTTTGCATCAGCTTCCTGTAAACGAACTACTTTTGTGAAGCAGGAGTGCAGTTACACCCTTTCCAGGTTGTCGATTTCCTGAGCTGATTGGGGAGGCGGACAGCGTCGTTAAAGTCGCCGAGAATAAGTGCAGAGAATGGCTGGAATTTTGTTGGCCGTTTTCCGCCCACTCACAATTTTTCCCAATTTCTGTGGCTCCTGCACTTTGTTTTCTTCAAACTTTCGCATCCTCGTGCCCTAGCGCGCAAAAAGTAAAAGCATAGGAAATTTTTGTGCAGAAGCTCACTGTTTGATCTCGTTAATCACGTGCATGCGTGTGAATCCATTTTAGAGCTATAATGATGCACAGTGGTTGTTGGCAATAACCTTCTCTGCCCCGACAAGATTTTCCTGATCGATACAATATTGCCAAAATTATCAGAGCTGCGAGGAAACACATATCTTAAAGTTATGCAACACAAACAAGGGGGACAGGAAGCAAAGCTTGGTCTAGAATTGTCTTGGTCCATGGTCAAAGTGGAGGTGAAATGTGTTTTGCTAAGTGCACATTTGCCGGGATCGGTGCGTCCTGTTATTTTGAGCAGCGACTTGTTTTATTTGTGGCACTCTTCACTAGGATAGAGTTTCATTTGATTGTTTGCTTTTGCGCAGATTCTCCATTAAACAGCGCGCGTTGGAACAAACCGTGTGTTGAGATAAATGCGATGGAGAAAAAGGATCACCTTGAAGAACGCGCGGCTTGAGCTCGGCGCTTATCATGGAAACAGCATTTGTCTGTGGTACGTGATGGCTTGATTTCAAAGGATTCATGTGTTGAATATTACTATGCTATATTGCCTCGCCTTTACGCAGAATGTAGAGTATTCGGCATCTCACGTGAGAGCACAAATGAAGTGAATGAAAGGAGGCGCGCTGACATCAAACACCAACCCAGTTTAGTTTGTTCCGCTCATGTCTTTGAGGGGTGATCAATGAACTGGTTTATTTCAGCATGCAGTTTTGGGCATGCATGTAGGGAGGACTAGGACTGACTGACACCAAATTGTATTTTCTTCTCAAGGGCAAGATCACCGTCAACATCGGAGGACAGAAGCAGGCATTATCGAAAACAAAACCACAAAATGGGCTCAAACAACGCAGACATGTTCCGCATATAGCAAGCTCTGACCGGCATTGGCGGCCTAGAAAAAAAAAACAGTTCCTTGCAGGACCTGCTGCATCCCAAGAAAATGCGAGCCGCAACGCGTACGCCATTCAACGCACCCGTAATATCACAAGCAGAGTGAGGCCAGCACCTTCCACACTGGAATGGCAAAACATCACTCCATCACAAGGTTTATTGCGTCATAGGAGATCCTACACCCAGCGCGTGCACCGCCAGTAATGCACTTGCTATGACATAAAATGAATAAAGGCAATAAGGTAGTCTCCAGCGACAGCAAAATATCACTTCATCTCAGGATGTGATGTCTGACGGGAAAATTAGACGCACGGCACGCACATAACGGCAGCGCACACGCAACACCCGGAAGTGAATGCCTGGAGCAGTGCAGGCAACACGGTCTGCACCACGAGCAAGCCTAATGCCGCCGTCACCTCACCGTGGCTCAGTTGTAGTCTCTTGCGAACACCATCACCACCGACCGAACGTGTTCACTGCGCCACAGACAGCTTAACCTCGGCCTCGAGGTTGGTGAGTCCAGCAGGTGGCCATTACAGCGGCGTGGTTGAGCCGCTCATGGTTGACGGTGGATCAAAACCAACTCTGCACGCGTAAGAGCAGGCTTGAAGGTCCGCTCAGCCAAGCGGGCTGAGAATCCGCTAAGTTAAGCAGGTGGTCGCAGGGGCCGTCAAACTGAGACGGAGCGGCGTGGAAGCAACCGTCAAGACTTCTCCCAGCACCGGCCCCTTCAGCAGGGCCGCAGCGTCACCTGAAGAAGCCAGACGAGTGCCTTTCTTCCGCACTACGTTCGCCAGCATTCCCGGTTGACTTGGAAGCCGGTACTCGTCCAGGTCGCAGAGCTGAGCAGCTTCGGCTAGCGCCTGGTCGCCCGCTGTGAGGAGGGCGCGCTCAGCCGCGGCCAGCGTCAGCCTGTTGTTTTAGTCAACGACTCTCAAGCATTAATCGTCCTTCAGCTCGCACAATCTGCACTTTTTTAGCTACATCGCAGTTCACTGCAATCCACTCATCGCTCGCGTTAGCCAGCGCAGAGTGGTGCAAGATGTTTGCAAGACGCAAAATGTACATCCAGTTAGGGCTGCAAGATTACGAAAGATAAGAGTATTTACGAGCTGGGTATATTGATGTTTGTCTAAAGCTATTTGTCGTCCGCTCACCGTTCACTCACCGAGCCGTCATCGCGCACGTGAATTTCTTATGCTCGTACCGGGGCGTGGTGTAAGTCTCTCAGCGGCCAACCCAAAAGAATACAGACCGTCACACGTGGCCTGTGGCCTGTTTAACTTAAAACGCTGCTGCACGGGGCCAGAATTTTTTGCTCTTTTTAGAAAAATACAATCAAGACACTTCTTTGGTAGCTTGGTATCTCCAGTCCGTTTATTGCAGAAAAGAGGTCTATGGAGGCTATTGTAAAACCCTTACTTGGCGAATATGAGAAACACCTTATAATTTTAAAGGGCGCAGGAAACAGGGTTCGGGTATCCTAGAGCTTACAACAGGGAAGCAAATCTGAAATTCTTTAATGTCGATTTATTTCGTGTATATTCATGATCAACTGTCTCAATTCCAATGCTCCGACCATCACTGAATTGAGGTCAATACCTTTCAACACAGACCATAAATTCTGGATTATACCGTTCTTTCTTGGGCACTGGTGGAGTGCGAAATCTCTGTTTAGATTAGTCGACCTTCAGTATACCAGAATGCTATACTGAGATGAAAGCATCAATATATGCGTTTTGAAAACATCGCTGCCTTTTTATGATATGTTATCATGTACACATTTGGGCATGTAAAAATGTTTCACATTTAAACCAGTACTCATGGTCATAAGTGAACAGGTTTGAACACAAATTGGAATGAAAATCCAGTGGCATAAAAGATAGGCAACGCTACCAGTCTCTAAAAACCCCGTTAGTAAACACAGCGAAAACGATTTGCACGCCAGGTTGACGTGAAAACAGATGAAAGTTATGAAATGAGGACAAAGTTTCGCTGTCTGCGTTTGATAAGATATATGGCCGCTCTTCTGGTTATCTCAGTTGGTGCTGCGAGATTAAGAGAGACAAGGCTGAGTCTTTTCAAGCTGGTTATATTTGTATTTGTCTAAGGCTATTTTTTTCACCTGCTCAAGCTTTCTTGGGACAAAATTTTCTAGCCGCTTCGCAGCTTGGCGGCCTTGGTCGCCAGATAATGCGGGAAATTTGCATCAACTCACCAAATCTTAAACCCGAATCTCTGGAATGGGCCATTAGCCTTGGATACCTGTAAACTAGCTATTTAAGGTCTGTCGCATATTAGATGTTATTAATGACATACGAATGAACACTGCCGAATAACCCATTTTCAAAGGCATGCCTGTTGTAATAGGGCTGCTTTCAACAGTAAATAGCCCAAAATACCCCAATACAGAGAGAGAGAGAGAGAGAGAGAGAGAGAGAGAGAGAGAGAGAGAGAGAGAGAGAGAGAGAGAGAGAGAGAGAGAGAGAGAGAGAGAGAGAGAGAGAGAGAGAGAGAGAGAGAGAGAGAGGAGAGAAGAGAGAGAGAGAGAGAGAGAGAGAGAGAGAAGAGAGAGAGAGAGAAGAGAGAGAGAGAGAGAGAGAGAGAGAGAGAGAGAGAGAGAGAGAGAGAGAGAGAGAGAGGAGAGAGAGGAGAGAGAGGGAGAGAGAGAGAGAGAACATCAGGTGATAGGACTAAGGAGCAGAACATGAACTTGCCTGGCTAGAACACT